TCCTTCCACTAGAAAAATATATTTTCCAAGTGGTCATGATAATCCTCTTCAACTTCAGCATCTAAATGATCATATCACAACAAAGCTCGGAAATATCAGTACCTCCAGTGTCAACAGGACCTGGAGAACTAGGTTCCTAGATATCATTTTTATCAGCTATATTTTGAATATAAAAATCTTTCCCGACTTGTTCCATTTTCTCAATATAATTTCCAAATTATGCTCAGCCATCTCAATAGAACAACCCAGATCAATACCCACCACATCAGACATATGTAAAAGAGAAAACTTATCATTAGTAGAAGGGCTATAAGAAGAATTACCATAATCATTCTTATCAGCAACTCTCTCTTTAGCCAAATCCTCCATTCTACCATCATCTTTCTCTTATGCTACAGAGAAGTACAGACTTCTCTTTAGAATACAATATCATATAAGCTAATCGAATCAGTGGAACATCACCTTGTTCTTCCAACTGAATGATCGTCCTAATAGGGAACTATAAGGTACCTTTGAACCGCAGAGCACAAATAGCTTCTTCAAGTAACAAGTGTAATATACTCCCTCCGTCCCAAAATAAGTGGTTAGTACAAACTACAAAGTAAGACACTTATTTTGGGACCGAGGGAGTATATCACAGGACAAAGGATCACTAAGCTTTCAATATATCATCTCCAAAATCTCAAAAAAAAAAAAGCTTCCATCAATTACTAAGCTGCATATGTAGCAAAGATAAACAGCATTATGTATGTTTAAACGAATTGACCTGTCACGCGGAATCATATATTTCCTGTGAGAGCAAAAATACATGTTATCATCTACAATAGCTGCCTGCAATGTGTAATCCAAGAAATAAAATCAAGCTAACAAAACAAAGATGATAGACATTAAATTGCAACTGTGAAACAAAATGTTATGTTTCCTTTGGAGATTCCGGTGTAGCATCCTCGTCTCTATGAATAAAAGACCGGAAGCCAGAGGGACTGAACAGCTGACCTGAGCCGGTGCTGCTGCTCACTGACCTCTCAATATCGGCCAGGTTTGCAACAACAGGGAGAGGCCTGTCCGGAATGATTAAAGGCCCTGGTGCTGAATCTGCTTCTAGTATCTTCACCACTTGCTCCATCGTTGGCCTGGCATGCAGCTGCGGATGTGTGCAGAGTGCTGCGACAAGCACATACTTCTCCATGACCTTAGTAGGACCAGGTTCAGCCATTCCTTCCTGGATCACATCCAGCGTCTTTCCCCTCCGCACCAATGACCAAGCCCAATCAGCAAGCACGAAGCTCTCTCCCTCACTGAGAGACATGAATGCTCTCTTCCCACTCATAAGCTCAAGAAGCACAACTCCGAAGCTGTAGACATCACTCTTCTCAGTTAACTGGCCATAGAGGGCATACTCTGGAGCGACATAGCCCATTGTGCCAGCAACCCGTGTGCTCACATGTGTCATCCCTTCTGGCGCAAACTTGGCCAATCCAAAATCGGCCACCTTCGCCTCAAAATCGTCATCAAGCAAAATGTTGCTTGCCTTGATATCCCTGTGAATGATGGCTGGCTGTGTGCCACGGTGCAGGTAGGACAGCCCCCGTGCCATTCCAATGGCAATCCTCTGCCTCACTGGCCACGCCATCAGGCACTCCCCGGCGCCGAAGAGGTGGTCGTGGAGGCTGCCATTATGCATGAGGTCGCACACAATCATCCGCTGGTGCCCCTCTCTCTGCGTGGCGGCGATACAGTACCCACGGAGCGCGACCAGGTTGACATGGCGCACGCTGGCCACCACCTCCACCTCATGTGCGAACGCCGCATCCCCGGCCGCCGAGCAGTTCTTGAAACGCTTCACTGCCACCTCTGCGCCATCGGGGAGCACCCCCTTGTACACATTCCCGAAACCACCGCGGCCGATGATGCTGTCTCTAGCGAAGCTCCCCGTGGCCATCTTGATGTCGTCGTAGGTGAACTTGAGCAGGGTGGTGCTGGCGGTGATGGACTCCATTGCATGCGAGCGCTTGCTCCTGCTGTCAGCGGCTAGTGCGGTAGCGGCAGCCCGCCTCCGGCGTCGCCACACGAAGAAGCACGAACCAGCAGCGGCAGCAACTAGCAGTACAAAGGCGACACATCCGAAGACGACGCCGTAGAGCCAGGCAGGGGCGCCGGACCCTTTGGAGGGTTGAGAGTTGGCCTTAAGGAGGTACAGGCAGTCCGCTGTGTCCGGGTCGTCGGGGCCGCGTAGGCTGGCCGCGGCGCCGGTGTATATGAAGGGGTACTGGACGCAGCCGGTGACATTGTTTCCGCCGTCGGGGGATCCAGGTAGGAGGTAGGCTGCGGCCGTCTTGCTGAGCGAGGTCGTGCAGGTGGTGCAGACCGGAACGGCGCCGAGCTCGCGGTAGCAGCTGGCGTTGATGTCCCTGCGGGCGGAGGCAGGCACTCGGGCATCGAAATCCGCTCGCGTGGAGATGTTGGCGCATCCAGGAGCGGAGAGGAGCGCGTCGATGCCCGCGAGGCCGCAGGCATCGGGCGGAGGGAGCGGAAAGGGGAGCGCGTCGCGGAGCGGCGGGAGGCAGGAGGAGGAGGAGGGGATGAGGAAGGACCCGGTGGCGGCGAGGTGGAGGGAGAGGAGGAGCCGGACGGACTGGAGCGCGAAGGCGCAGCGGGAGGCGTCGTCGGAGGGGAGCGGCGGGGCGAGGAAGGGGCGCAGGGCGGTGAAGTTCAGCGGGCACTGCTGCGGCGGCGTTGGGGGTTGGGCGAGGAGCGTGGCGGGGAAGAGGATGGAGAAGACGAGGAGGAGGGAGAGACGGCGGGACATGGGTGGGGACGGTGGTCGGGGATCAGGAAGGAGGAGGAGGCGGAGGAGGTTTGACCATCGATTTGGGAAGGAGATGGGGAACGGCCGGCCACGGGGATGGATGTTCGACCACCACCCACCTACCCACCCACCAGCCGCCTTTCTCCAGCTCCTTCGGCATCAATCAGTCTTGGCTTTTCTCCCGTTGTGGGCACGGAGGGTGGGTGGGGTCGTGATACGCGCTGCCTCTCGAGCGGCGGCGGCGAACCCAGTCTGCTAAACTTCCAGGAGCCAGCACGCAGGCTTGTCGGCGCCGCAGCTCGCAGCACCTTCGTCCGGCTCGAGCACGAAGTCGTCGTATCAGGCCCTTTCCAGTGCTTCATCGTGGAAAGGTGTTAAGCATGTCACATAAATAAAAAATAACATGAAATAATAATTAAGAAGGAGAGAACCAATGTCAAGCACATGAACCTAGACAAACCACTTAAATGAAAGAAGTTGATCAATGCATGGAAGAGATTATGTGTCAAATCATTAAATAAAATGAGCTTATCAACAACAAGTTAAGGCTGGCCATAGTGGGAGTAATATAAGTACTCCCTCCGTCTAGGTGAATAAGTCATCTTAGATTGTGCACCGCGACCAAGGCGGAGGGAAAAACAAGAGAACTTAATGTTTTTTCTAATTAATAGCATTGCATGCAATAAATTAATCATTGCATGTCATGTTTGGTAGTCTCAACTCATTTAAAGGATGCATGGCTCGCATCTCTTATTGGTTGATATGTCACGAAAAAAAAATGAAGAGTGAGTTAATGTACCGTGCCTAAGTGTTTTGGGATTATTTGGTTTTCATAAGGTGATTTACACACCTAGACGGAAGGAGTAGTATCATGTACTCTCACCGGTCCTTTTTACTCCGCACATTAGATTTGTCTAAAGTCAAACTTTACTAAGTTTGACCAAATCTATGCTAGAAAGTATTAACATCTATGATATCTAATAAATATAATATGAAAATATATTCAGACATGGATCTAGTGATATCGATGTTGTCACGTGAATGTTAGTAATTTTTTGTATAAACTTGGTCAAAGTTGGATGAGATTGACTTCAGACAAACCTAATATGCAGAGTAAAAAGGACCGGAGGGAGTACTTGGGACTCGCAAACATGCTTATGTGGCAGACAATTAAAGAAGAGAGAGATGGTTATAGTAACATAGGTAGATATTGTAACATAATAAATGTGATGCTACTATGTGTCATGCATGGCAATAAATGGGACTACCTATGATACTATGCACTATAGAGGTATGCATGTTACTAGTCTAAGTTACTCCCCACTATGACCAGCCTACGACTAGCCACAATGAAGAGTAACATACACTAGTAACATACACATATCCCTAGAATATGTTACTACCTTCATAGTGGGTAGTAATATAAGTATGGTAACATGCAAAGCCTCATTTATTAGGTTATAGACTCATATTGCATTGGGACATGTTTTTTTCGAGAGTAGACAAATAGCGTACCATATTTTTATAGAAGGCAAAGAGTATAATTACAAGAAGCCAACCACCAATGCGAACATTTTAGGTCGGCACCCACGCAACGCCGCTAACCACTAGATTACTCTCTCACGAAAGGATCTAATCCTCCAGCTCCTATGCCTGCAAGCTTCCATTCTTTGATCTCTGTCAACACAATCTGAACTAACTCTGGTGGGGTTCTTTGTTGGTGAATTCTGTTGAAAACCCTCGCGTTTCTTTGCTTCCAGAACGCCCAGGCAGTAGCTATGATGAAGGAGTCAAATCCACGAAGAACTTTCCTCAAAAATCTTCCTCTTTGCAGCAGCCACCACTCAGTGAACTTCTCTTCCGTGTTCGGCACCTGCACATTAACCTGTAGAGCATCGAAACATCGGTGCCACACCTCTCTGGCATAGGCACAATGGGCAAGAATGTGGTCCACATAGTCAATCTCCTGAAGACATGTGAAGCAGGAAGAAGGCTCATCTTGGAGACCATGACGCGCACGCCTATCGCTTGTCCACAGCCGATACTGTACCATGAGCCAGGCAAAAATCTTGCAACGTAAGGGGGCCCAACTTTTCCAAATACATCGTGCAGTGGGGGAAGCTAGGAGCCCTAGGCACAACCGGTTGTAAACAGATTTGGCAGTATAGCAACCGGAAGTGTCCGCCGGCCAAATGAACTAGTCTGGTGCGGTCGCATTGATCGGGACTGTGGCCATAGCTTGGCAGAGGTTAGCCACCTGCATGTGGGCCATGAAGGAGAGGTCGCCCTAAATGTCATGGATCCACGCATTGTCCACAATAGCCTGCTGCACTATCCTCGCATTTTTCTCTCGGGTCCGAACTATGGCACTGATCAATGGAGCAATCTCGCTAATCGTAAATCCATGTATCCATCTATCCTTCCAGAAGTAGACATTTTCACCATTGCCCACCATGATTTTGATCATGCTATTGAACACCAGACTGGCCTCATTATCTTTTGTCATCCCAATACCTTGCCAGGGTCTCTCACGATCGACGCGACTCAGCCATTCCCATCTCACTCTCAAAGCTAGTGCTTATTTCCTGATGTTCTTGATCCTGAGGCCTCCAAAATTCATGGGGCGGCAAACCGTGTCCCAGGCAACTAAGGAATGGCCACCATTTGATTTTTCTTTTTCGGCCCAGAAGAACGATCTCAAGCACTTATCAATTTCCTCGAAAACCCAGTCTGCTGCATTAAGGACCATTAGCTGATGGATCGGCCGTGCCGCAAGCACGAACTTCACCAAGACGAGCCGCCCGGGTTTCTGGATGAGGCCATGTTGCCAAGTTGGTAGCAGCTTTTTGGCTTGGTCGAGCAGCGGTTGCCAATCAGCCCGAGTCAGCTTCCGGATCGCCAGTTGGATGCCCAGGTACTTGCACGGGAAGTGTCCCATCTCGCAATGTAGCAGATCTGTCACACACTGTCTATCTTCATCTGTTCCTCTGATAAGCACAACCGTGGTCTTGTTATAGTTAATGCGTAGTCCAGCGGCTTCCCGCATTGGGACATGTGATGTTACAGTAACTAGCTAAGTTACTCAAACTAACTCTCTCCTCATTAACTCATTGCCACATAAGCAAATTTGCTGAGTTGGACTCGATGTTACTGCTGGAGTTACTCCCACTGTGGCTAGTCTAAGCACCTATGCATTGGGGATTTGAGTTGCTAAGCTATTTAATGCACTTAGCATCACTTCTAAGCACCTTTATACATTGGAAGAGGGTCTTAGCAGCCTTTATTCGTAACTGGTTAAATGCCCGTGCGATTGCAACAGATATAAATATGTGGGTGGTTGTAAGATATTAATTATAAGTATATAAATTAAATTAGAGCATCTCAACGCTTATCCCTAAAACGAACGTTGTATTCGTCAGTGAAGAGTGGTATGGGGGCCAGTCATCCAACCATATTCATGTTTTCAAAATGAATTTGATTAAATTTTATAATATTCATCTAAAATGGGCCACATTCATTACATTTTTGGCATATTTCATTAAGCAAAAGCGTCTGGACCCTAACCGACTCCCATGCCCTACTCCTCCTCGGCAGAGTCTGCAACTTGTCTGTCGTCAATGGATGTGAGGTTGATGATGGACATGGACGGGCCGGCCTTGTCACCTAAACAATGCGAACAAATCCTAGTTGGTGGCATTAACGTCGCGCAACTGCAAACGTTCTCGTCCACGATCGCATACGCCGCAACTCCTGTGGCAGTCGGTGTGTGTAGTCCCTTTAGTGATCCGGTAAAATAGCAGAAAGGATTCTCGCCTTTTTTCCTACATGTGACCCTACGTTATCGAACCCACGAGAGAAAGGCACCCTTGAAGTTAGAGGTTTCTACCAAGTTTTTGCAAGGTATTAATTCCAACTAGCTTTTGATCGGATTAGAATAAAGTTGACACCTAAAACACTTATAATAAAAATAGACATGGGTATGAGGACTTGTTTTTGCAACCATATATTAGTGAAGGAGATTGTCATGATATTAAATTGTGCTCTAGAAGTCATCCATCGAGATGTGCTTGCAACATATGAAAATGGGTATGTATCCAAATTACGTCTTCACCGGCACGCATCTTGCATCAAGAGTCAGTTGTCCAACCAAAAGGCCCTATCCGTCGCGCGGGGTTACCCAGTAATTAAGATAGAAATCAGACAAAAATATTGGGCATTTAATGACTACACCTCTTGTATCACCTAGGGTGGGATCTGTGTTACCGTACTAAACCTTTCTATCACTGGTGTTCAGAAAGAATAACACTTCACTGTCTCCATGCCCTTAGCATCTCCGTGGCTCGCTATCCATGATCCTGGGTACCTGTAGGGACGAAGAATGGGAACAAGACAGGAGACAACTATGAAACAATTTTTTATGTTACACATATGGGACGTTCATTCAAAGTACTTCTGTCGTGGTTTTGTCACGGCAGATGTCCTAAAGAAAGGACTTAGTCGTGGAGCCATCACGACGGGTTAGCTTAAAAGGGTTAAAGCGGACAAAGGATGCAGAGAGTTTGTACTGGTTCGGCCCCTTGCGGTGAAGGTAAAGGCCTAATCCAGTTGTTGTGGAATTGCTAGGGTTTCGATGACCAGGGAGCGAATTCGCTATGCCTGGCTCTCGAGTTGTTGTTTGTTCTCCCTAAACCGCCGCCGGGTCATCCCCTTATATACATGGGTTGACGCCCGTCGGTTTACAGGGTCCCGAGGCCAGCTCATAAACGTGTTCGGCTCAGTCTCTGCTCTTTCTGTCTTACAACACAAGTTTACATATCAATGTCGGTTTACGTCTATAGACCTTAAACCGTCTTTGGGCCCTGGGCCTTCATAAAGCACCACTCTTCATGGGCTTAGATTTACGCCCAGTAGTAATATCCCCAACATTAGGCCCTAGATTGATTTGAACTGGTTCATGTCAATCTTCAACATATCATCATCTTCATAGGAATCTTGTAAAC